ACATACATTATTTCTATGTCGACCACTAAATGGTCAGCAATTAAGTCGGCGACAATTTGTCCTTTTACTGATTTCAAAGGACAATAAGTCAAAGAGTATTTAGTGAGTTCTAATACCCATTTCCCTATTCGACTATGGAGAATAAGTTTTGGTAGCATATGTTTAATAATGTCGAAATGAGAATAAACATAAACTTCAAATGTTTTAATATAATGTTATAATTTAGTATAAGAGAAGTATATGCACAAACATAATTTTTCAATTGAGTTATACCTAGTTTCCGCATCTATTAGAATTCGACTGAGGTAATATATGGCCTTTCGACGCCACTATCATCCTCATGTGCTAACATACTGCCTATGGTCGAATTCGATGCGGCTATGTACAATATTATGCTCCTATTTCTACTTGGAGGAAATAGTACAAGAGGCCTCGTTAGATATTGCTTGATGCTATCAAAAGCCTCTTGCTGTTCGTTCCCCAAAATAAAGTCGCTATCTTTCTTGAGTCGAAGGAGTGGCGAGAATGATTGAATTTTTCCACTTAGATTAGAGATGAATCTTCTCAAGAATTTTATCTTTCCCAACAAAGATTGGAGACGCTTCTTTGTCGAGGGAGGCTTGAGATCTAGAATTTCTTTTGTCTGGTTCTGATTAATTTCTATGCCTTTCTTGTGTCCCACGAATCCTAAGAAATCCCCTCAACACAAAAAGTGCACTTTAATGGATTCATCTTCAATCCATATTGTCTCATCCATTGAAAGAATTGTCGAAGATGGTCCAAATGACCATTTTTTTAGGAGGGTTTATAAAGATATCATCAATATAGACCTGCATAAACGGTCAATGAAATCATGAAACATGGAGTTCATGGCACGTTGGTAACTCGTCCCGACATTTTTCAGACCGAAAGACATCACTATTTGTTCATCAGTTCCTAATGCACTTGGGCATTGAAACGCCATCTTTGATACATCTTCTTCAGCTATAAATATTTGGTTCTAGAGTAACCATCTAACATACTCAAATATTCATGACCTATGGCTGAATCGACTAGCATTTCTGTCGCAGGTATGCGGTATTCATCCTTAGGTGTAACATTGTTTAAATCTATAAAGTCTATGCAAACTCTAAGTGTACCATTTTTCTTTATAACTGGAACAATATTAGCTAACCATTCGACGTACCTGGATGTTCTTATGAATTTGCTCTTGAGCAGCCTTTCAATTTCTTCCTTGATCTTCGACATCACTTCAGGCGCGAATCTTCTTGGCAATTGCTTCACCGGTTTCTTCCCAAGTCGAATAGGTAGTTTCAATTCCACCATATCTCGATTTAAACTTGGCATCTCATTGTAATCCCATATGAAGCAATATTTGTATTCCTTGAGCAGCTCGATTACTTGTTCTTTCATGATTGGCTCAATCCTGACGCTGATGTAGGTTGGTCGCTTCTCTGCTTCTTCACCTAAGTTTACTTCTTCTAAAGGATCTTGGGCCAGCATTTTCATATTAGTCCCAAACAGATCTTTTTCAAACCCCAAAGGCTCGTTGTCGTAAATGCAATCGAGCCTCCAGCTTTTTGAAGATGTTGTCTGGCCCATAGGGCCTTCTCCACTGTTTCCATAGGTTTCTACACTGGCTTCATAAGCCACATTCTGAGAAGCTTCGCCTCTAAGGTCGATTTTATTATGTTTTTTAGTCATGTAGGCCGAAATTTTAGTCAGCGACTATGACTCAGGAGTCATTTTTATTGACCATTGTCCACCCAGTGAGGGGAAGACTTCCTTCTTTGACAGGATCAGTTTCCACCTGCTTTTTATCCCTCGTGTATAAGCCCTATTGAAAGCTATTATCCCCCTTACCTTGTTCTCCTAACAGCAAAGGCTGATTCAGTTTTTGGTTCTCCTCTCTTTCTATGTTAGCTCTCCTCTTATTCTTCCCTTTACCTTAACATTTTCACTCTTCCAAACCATGTACTATAAAAAATCCTCTAATTCTCCAACTTTCTTTTTATAATAACAAAACTCTTAAATTTTAAATTTACCTTTCTATCCTCACTTACTCACAAAAACTCAACAATGTTCTTCCTCTTTTATTTCCTATATTTAATTACTTTATTTTTATTAATTTATCTCTAATAACAAAATAATTAAATTCCCTAAAAATGCTACTACTCATATTATTTTCTTTAATAATTAAAATACTATTATTTTAATTATTCTACCACTTTTACTCTATCACCATACTACTCTATTCTTTTCAACCATCTCACTACACCCCACACACATAAAACAATATTCAATTTAAATCAATATGTAAAATCATATAACCACACTAAATCACTCAAATATACAAATTATTAGTTTAATTAAATAATTAAACAGAAAAGTCAAAACGTTACATGTTACATTTTAGTAAATAATAATTAAAATAAAATTAAAATTAAAAATTAAATAGCAGACCCATATGTTACATAAAGGAAAAAGGATGAAGTTGTGAATATATTTATTTCATTAGTTTGATCATGTCTAATAATAGTTATATCCTTCTACTGTTTGTTAGTTTTTTCAGTTATCTTAGTGGGAATCTTACACGTGGCATTATCCTATTGGTGGCTAATGATAAGGTTAGCACACATAACTTTTCAATCTTGTGTGGTTACTATGGCTGATAAGCTTATCATTTTCACAATCCAACAAATTGTTTCTAGGCGGTGGCCAATTACCACAATTTTAAGACCATAATATTGGAAATACAAAAATCAATTCATTATATATAGCAAGTTTTAGTACAAGTTCTGCAATTCAAGCATAAGAACTAAGAAAGTGAGAAATGGCTTCTATGATATCCTCTTCAGCTGTGACTACAGTCAGCCGTGCTTCTAGGGGGCAATCCGCCGCAGCAGCTCCATTCGCCGGCCTCAAATCCATGACTGGATTTCCAGTTAAGAAGGTCAACACTGACATTACTTCCATTACAAGCAATGGTGGAAGAGTAAAGTGCATGCAGGTGACAAAAACATATATATACTTTCTATAAACTTTTAGTTCATGAATTTGGATTTGACATAAGTACTTATGAAACTGTTTGAGAGAGTTATCAGAAACAATATATCATATGTCCATGAATTGTTTGAGAGAGTTATGAAAAAGTTTGCTAACCTAGTTTGTTGAATATTTAGGTGTGGCCTCCAACTGGAAAGAAGAAGTTTGAGACTCTTTCATATTTGCCACCATTGACCAGAGATCAGTTGTTGAAAGAAGTTGAATACCTTCTCAGGAAGGGATGGGTTCCTTGCTTGGAATTTGAGTTGGAGGTTTAATATATTCATTACTTTTTCGATCATTATTATATGCATACTTTTGTTTAAAACCCTAATGAGTTGATTTTTGCTACTCGGTTGCAGAAAGGGTTTGTGTACCGTGAGAACCACAGCTCACCAGGATACTATGATGGAAGATACTGGACAATGTGGAAGCTTCCTATGTTTGGCACCACTGATGCTTCTCAAGTCTTGAAGGAGCTTGATGAAGTTATTGTCGCTTACCCTCAAGCTTTCGTTCGGATCATCGGTTTCGACAACGTTCGTCAAGTTCAATGCATCAGTTTCATTGCACACACACCAGAAACCTACTAAGTTTGGAAAAACTGTTTTTCTTGTACCATTTGTTGTGCTTGTCATTTACTGTGTTTTCTTTTTCGGTTTTTGCGTTCGGACTGTAAAATGCAAATGGATGGATAAGAGTTAATCAATGTATGGTCCTTTTATTGATTCTCAAATTAGTATTATCTTTTCTCTCTTTGTTATGTGTTAAATTTTAAAATTGAAGTAACAAAGGAACTAAGTGGTAAAGGCAGAGTGTGCTCCTCTCAACGTAACGTGTAGTATAAAAGATATAAACACTCTCTCAAACATTTATATCTTAAATTTGTTTGTTAACTAAGTTAATTATGAGACTTTGACTAAATAACTATGTAATAAAGTTAATCTTTATGTTTGTTTTTGCATGAGGCTATTGAACTTTACAAAACTGCCACATGTTTATCCTTTGTGAGAAATTGTGTTTCGAAATTCTAAACATTGATCTTAAATTCTTTTGTTGACAGATTGTAATGTATCGTCTCTCTTAGTTAAACTTACATCTTTAGATGCTATGATATGGTACACGCTAATTGAACATATAGCTTTTTAAAGGAGAAGACTACATGTTTATTTTATGAGTCACATCATAGCATCTAATCTATTAGAATATTTAACGTTTACAATACAACCTTTTCGATGTGTTTTGTTCGTCCATAATTCTGATATTTCATGAAAAATTGGTTATTTTTGTGGTAAGAGAGCTTCATCAAGTCCAATCTAATTCGGCTTTATGTAGAATTACAAATATGATTCAAAAAATACATAAAGAAAAGTTCATAAATGTCTAAAAGACAAAAGGTTATACTAAACTGTAATTTGTGTTCAGTAACATAACGTTTGCAGCTTTGCTAGGTCCGCAAATATCTTTGTTGTCTAGTGAATAAGCATAACATTCTTCTAAATGGTCTTAATTTTACGAATTTCCAAATACATCCTTGAAATTCTAACGAGTGAGTCAAAATAATCTCCCGATTGATTTCTGTGAATAGAGTCTATGATGTGACACGTTTTGACTAAGAAGTTCAAATAACGTGCCGGGACATAGCCTCTCAAAACAGATAGTTAACGGAGAGATCATTTTGACTCACTCGTTAGAATTTTCAAAGAGTATTTAACATCTCTTACACTGCACCTTAATTACTAACTGTTAGTAACTTTGTTGCTTCAAATTTCAAATTGCATACATAACAAAGAAGAAAAAACAGATAACTATAGTTTGAGGCCATATCATTGATTAACTCTTATCCATCCATTTGCAATTTACAGTACAAAAGCGAAAACTGAAAAACACAGTAAATTACAAGCACAACAAATGATAGAAGAGGAACAGTTTTTCCAATGCCATAATACTCAAACTTAGTAGGTTTCTGGTGTGTGCGCAATGAAACTAATGCATTGAACTTGACGAACGTTGTCGAAACCGATGATACGAACGAAAGCTTGAGGGTAAGCGGCAATAACTTCATCAAGCTCCTTCAAGACTTGAGAAGCATCAGTGGTGCCAAACATAGGAAGCTTCCACATTGTCCAGTATCTTCCATCATAGTATCCTGGTGAACTGTGGTTCTCACGGTACACAAATCCTTTCTGCAACCAAGTAGTAAAAATCAACTCATTAGGGTTTTAAACAAAAGTATGCATATAATAATGATCGAAAAAGTAATGAATATATTAAACCTCCAACTCAAATTCCAAGCAAGGAACCCATCCCTTCCTGAGAAGGTATTCAACTTCTTTCAACAACTGATCTCTGGTCAATGGTGGCAAATATGAAAGAGTCTCAAACTTCTTCTTTCCAGTTGGAGGCCACACCTAAATATTCAACAAACTAGGGTTAGCAAGCTTTTTCATAACTCTCTCAAACAATTCATGGACATATGATATATTGTTTCTGATAACTCTCAAACAGTTTCATAAGTAGTTATGTCAAATCCAAATTCATGAACTAAAAGTTTATAGAAAGTATATATATGTTTTTGTCACCTGCATGCACTTTACTCTTCCACCATTGCTTGTAATGGAAGTAATGTCAGTGTTGACCTTCTTAACTGGGAATCCAGTCATGGATTTGAGGCCGGTGAATGGAGCCACTGCGGCGGATTGCCCCCTAGAAGCACAGCTGACTGTAGTCACAGCTGAAGAGGATATCATAGAAGCCATTTTTTCTCACTTTCTTAGTTCTTATGCTTGAATTGCAAAACTTGTACTAAAACTTGCTATATATAATGTATTGATTTTTGTATTTCCAATATTATGGTCTTAAAGTTGTGGTAATTGGCCACTGCCTAGAAACAATTTGTTGGATTGTGAAAATGATAAGCTTATCAGCCATAGTAACCACACAAGATTGGAAGTTTTTGTGTGTTAGCCTTATCATTAACCACCAATAGGATAATGCCATGTGGATGATGCCCCACTAGTCATGGAGAGTAACTTTCTTCAAGCATTGGCTATTGATGAAGGGAAAAAGAAGATGTATCATTCATATAGTAACTGGTTTCTGTAAACTATATGTTGAAAATGTGAATGTCAACAAATTTTTTATTGGAGGGAATCATACATCAAGACCAAAAATATAAACACCTTGAAGTAACCTAATCTTATGTGTAGAATAGAAGTTGATGATAAATATATATTTGATATATAATTCTATTTAATTAGCAAGAAAGGTAAATCTAATAGGTTTTGTTTAATGTGCCTTAAATTAGTATTACAAATTGTTATTTACAATCTAATATTTACCAGACTCCTCCTAAATCAGTAATTTGATTAAATCATTCTCCTGGTAAACTCCTAGTTAATACTGTTAGAAGTGATTCGATCCTATAATATGTATGTAATGTAGACTAGAGTGAGTAATAGAATTCTATGTGTGACTTCACTATATAAACAAGTACACTCCCTTATATTACAGTTAATTTCTTCAATGCACAATTATCACAATGTGTGTATATTCTAACAACTGGTATTCAGATCTCGGTTCGAATTAAAGCCATGCGATACACACATGAAGGTGAAAACTGGCACAAGCTTCTCAATGAATCTTCATGTCCTCAATAGAAAAAATTGGGATCGATGGAGTGTATATATAAAAGTAATTCTGGGTTACCAAGAAGTCACAAAAATTATCAAAGAAGATTACCCAACACTCCCTAACAACCCCACAGATGCACAGAAGACGCTTCACAAAGACAAGAAGAAGAAAGATTGCAAGGCAACTTTCTTGGTTCATCAGTGTGTTGATGAAGCACACTTTGAAAAGATTGCAGGTGCTGTAACTTCGCAAGAAGCATGGAAGATTTTGAAGACTTGTAATAGTGGCGCAGAGAAGCTGAATAAAGTACGACTGCAAACGATGAGGCATCAATATGAATTAATGCAAATGGAAAGAAATAAAAAGATAGTTGATTTCTTCAACAGAATCATCACATATACAAATTCCATGAAGAATTATGGTGAGAAAATTACGAATCAAACGATTGTTGAAAAAATATTATGAGGCCTAATCCCCAAACTCGACCACATAATGGTAGTTAGAAGAACTACAAGGTTCTTTAGAAGTTTTGAATATTGTTTACTCTGATGTGTGTGGCCCCTTTGATGTTCCATCACTAGGAGGGATTGGATATTTTGTGTCCTTTGTTGATGACTTGAGCAGGAAGGTATGGATCTATCTAATCAAGTCCAAGAGTGATGTGTGCAACATTTTTAAATAATTTAAAGCACTTGTGAAGAAACAATCTAGAAAGTGCATCGAAGTCATAAGAACCGATGGTGGTGGGGAATTTACACCTAGAGAAATTGAAGAATTTTTTAAGGGCATGTTGATGAAACTATGTTCAGACAGATAATTGGAAGCTTAAGGTATCTGTCACAGCAGAACTGAGATAACTTTAAGTGAAGGTTTGGTCAGCAGGTTTATGAGTGATCCCTAGACCACCATGGGACAAGTATTTTTGTTGTCAGGTTCGTCTATATCTTAGACTTATAAGAAGCAAACTATGGTATCTTTATCCACCTGCGAGGCTAAATATATTATAACCTGTGTAGTTGCATGTCTTTAATACATTCAGAGGGAGCACCCCAATACGTTTATTTTGTTGATTGTCTTATCGCTTTCATATTTGATTTACTTTTTATTATTGAGTTTCATTTATGATTGCACCTCTCAGAATCAAGTTTTAAAATGATTTGCTTTTAGCATGCATAAACCATTGGTTAGGTTTGAACTTAATCATGATGCTTTTAATCAATTCCATGAGTCATGAGAATAAGAGTCATGTATGATATTGATTCAAGTTATGTGAAAATAAAAATCTCAAAGTCTCTTTGAAATTTTGAAAAATTGGGAATTTGGGTGTTTCATTCGAATCAAGCACAAATCCTAATTCAAAACATTTTGGACAGAGGCAAACCATAATTCTTCAAAACAATTTGATTTGAATCACTTTTTACACATGATTCGAATCATCAAACTCTGGGTCACCTCTGCCTCAATTGATTCGAATCACACTTTACACATGATTCGAAACATACCATGTTTCCACATTTTCTCAGTTGACTCAGCCTGTTTGATTCAAATCAAATTTAACACATGATTTGAATCACACGGTGTCTGATTCTAAACACAACTTCCACTTAATTCGAATCAACTGAAAATTGGTCAAAACTCTGTTTTTCTTTTATTTCACTTCACTTGTTCATTTGATTCAAATCATGAAATGTTCTTGATTTGAATCTAATTGACTTTTTCCAACCATTTTCAGTGTTTAATTTCAAGCACATATAAAACCTTTTAGTCATCATTTCTTATAAAACAAATCTTAGTGAGTATCATAATCAACATTGTGTTTTTGTGAAAAATCAATTTCCTCTATTTTAAAAGTTCAAAGTTCTTGCAACGAAATTCTCGCATCTTCAACTTCAGTTTGATTCAGATCTTAATAATGAAATATTTGTAATTGGTTGAAGGAGGCACGTTATTGAAACTAATCGTTCTTGAAGATTTAGTTGAGATTTTCAGGTTGTTTGCAAGATTGAGGTGATTGTCAATGGTGGTGACACATTCCATTAAAAAAGTAGGTTCTTTTCTCCATAATTTCCTTAGTAGTGACTGTGTGGAAGGCTACAGATAAGATGGAGTTCTTTTCAAATCTTCGGACAATTTATCGCTCAAGAAATCGATAAGTTCAAGGGGTTGATTGCTACACAGAAAGGCTTGAAGCATATTTGTGATATTGAAAAATTCAAGAAGCGTTAATCAAGTAAAGATTATGTATAAGAGTTTTGTATTGTGCTATATACAAGTCAAGATCCAAATAGGAGATTTTAATTTTCTCGGCATTATTGTGTAATGGTGATTGTAGCAACTCTTGCAAATATTGTAGCAACTCTTGCAAATATTGTAGCATCTCTGCATTTACCTCCCCAAGACCAAACTCCTCTTACACACCCTCAAAACCTCTTGATACGCTCCATACATGTTCATTTAGATCTTCCTCCTAAAAAAAAGTTTCTCAACTTGGTGTATATCCTGAAATAAGCCTTTTAAATTCTCGTAAAATTTTACCTTCAAATGTTCTACTAATCCAACTTGAGGTGCGTAAGCATTAATAATATTAAATATGTCTTTTTGCACTACAAATTTAAAGGCTATCACATCCATAATATCCTCCTATCACTCTTTATCTACAATGTCCTTCCACCACTCCTTGTCCACAATAATCTTCACCTCATTTCTCGATCTAACTTTTTCGGTGTACCAAAGCTTAAATCTTAAGTTGTTTAATTCTTTTTCTTTTTCTCTTGAAATTAATCTTCCTGATTAGTTTCATTATTTCCATAGATTTTTCAATAAGTATGTCTATGTTCTATGATAATTTCTGATTAGTTTCATTATTTCCATAAATTTTTCAATAAGTATGTCTATGTTCTATGATCCAAAACAAATCCAACTATCATGAACTAACTTTTTCACTTTTTACTTCATTCAGACGGCAGTGGAGCGTCCCCCTACTCTTTTGAAATTATACACGAGTCATATAACACGTTTGCGGACAACCACCTATCATTTACATTATTTCGTAATTGATCTATATCATAAAAATTCGACAAAGTTTTACTTAAATTGTCGACTGTCTAATACAAGTCTTTTCTTTTATCCGAACTTAGGATCGACTATGTAAAACAAAAGTAGGCAGAAATTTCGCAACTTTAACCAAAATAAGAATATTTTTCTCCACTAAAATTACCTCAAGCTGTTGACATGTGTTATAATTGTATAAACTCAACTGTGAAATGATAAATCAAATAGTAAGCCATGATGAATAAGGCTCTCAGCTAGAATAATTATCAGACAAATGTTAGGATTTAAGAAAAAATGTTCTACTTTGGTGGTAAGAGAGATTCATCAAGTCAAATCAAAACTACAAATATGATATGAAAATTGCAGAAAGGAAAGTGAATAAATGTCGACAAAAAAAGGCTATGCTGTACTTAACTTGATTGCATATTACTTGATCATAGACTCATAGTAAACTTGATTACACAGTTAAGTGAAGAAACAAACCAATTCAAGACATAACCAAAGAGAGGTGAAAGACTGTTTTATATCTCTACCATTGCACCTTAATATCACACTGTCAGTTCCTTTTTTACTTAAATTCAACCCATTAAAATAAAAACAACAGATAATACTAATTTGAGAATGAACAAAAGGACCATATCATTTATTAACTCTTATCCATCCATTTGCATTTTGATGTCCGAAAGCAAAAACCGAAAAAACACAGTAAATTACAAGCACAACAAATGATAGAAGAGGAACAGTTTTTCCAATGCCATAATACTCAAACTTAGTAGGTTTCTGGTGTGTGCGCAATGAAACTAATGCATTGAACTTGACGAACGTTGTCGAAACCGATGATACGAACGAAAGCTTGAGGGTAAGCGACAATAACTTCATCAAGCTCCTTCAAGACTTGAGAAGCATCAGTGGTGCCAAACATAGGAAGCTTCCACATTGTCCAGTATCTTCCATCATAGTATCCTGGTGAACTGTGGTTCTCACGGTACACAAATCCTTTCTGCAACCAAGTAGTAAAAATCAACTCATTAGGGTTTTAAACAAAAGTATGCATATAATAATGATCGAAAAAGTAATGAATATATTAAACCTCCAACTCAAATTCCAAGCAAGGAACCCATCCCTTCCTGAGAAGGTATTCAACTTCTTTCAACAACTGATCTCTGGTCAATGGTGGCAAATATGAAAGAGTCTCAAACTTCTTCTTTCCAGTTGGAGGCCACACCTAAATATTCAACAAAAGGGTTAACAAACTTCTGTGCATTTTTGCCAATGAATCCATCAAAACTATTCAAATAACCTTCTAGTTGTAAAATATGTAAGCTATGTTGAACTTAACTTTTTCCAAAATCTCTCATTTTACAAGCTATTTTGAACTTTTCTAAATGGAAAACTTTTATATAATAGGGCTCTATTTAGATTTTAAAAAAAAAAAACTTAATTAATTCCTTATGTATAAGCTATTTCTGAAACAATGATAAAATATACTAAAACTGTTTTCATATAAGCTAATAAGTTATTTTCATAACCTAACCTCAAGAACATACAAAAGTAAGTTGAAACCGTTTATGAACTTATCATAAGTTGTTTCTCAAACCTCTCTCAAGCGGTCTAATAAGTGCTTATGCCAATATATACATTAAAATAAACCAATCAAACAGAACCAAAAAGTTGATACAAAGAAGATATATATTTTTCTGACCTGCATGCACTTTACTCTTCCACCATTGCTTGTAATGGAAGTAATGTCAGTGTTGACCTTCTTAACTGGGAATCCAGTCATGGATTTGAGGCCGGTGAATGGAGCCACTGCGGCGGATTGCCCCCTAGAAGCACAGCTGACTGTAGTCACAGCTGAAGAGGAAATCATAGAGGCCATTTTTCTCACTTCTGTTTGAATTGCAAAGCTTCTGCTAAAACTTGCTATATATAATATTTTTTATTTATCTATTTCCAATATTATGGTCTTAATATTGTGGTAATTGGCTACTGCCTAGTACCCATCTTGTTTGATAGTGAAAATGATAAAGTTCGCAACCATATTAACCACACAAGATTTGAAATTTTGTGTGCTAGCCTTATCATAAGCCACCAATAGGACAGTGCCATGTGGATATTACATCATTGATCTTATCTTTTCAAGTGAAGAGTGTAAATGTGTGATGGTGGTTATGTTGATATCTTTATTTTTTGTAATGAATTGTATTCATGAAAATTCAATTGTAGTATGTTGGCCTCATGGAATTTTGTGACTATTACTTCACAAATATCTTTTATGTATGGGTAACATTTGTTCCTGTCCAAGCTTTTGGATCCTCAGGGAAGAAAAAAATAAATTAAATGAGAAAAACAAAATCAATTGTATGAACCCTCTTAACTGATATTCTCTTATCCCTTTTGTTGGATAATTGAGAATGTGACTCTGTCTTCAGAATTACATGAGAAACTTAAGTAAACTTATCTCTTTTCCTTGTATGAAAATTTTCTGTTATGTCTCAAAAAAGGTGAGGATGCTGTGATGAAATTTACTGATTCAGAGAGATATCAACTCCTTACTAGGAGAAATCTGCACCTGATTTTCATGTGGCACCAGACATAGCATCATTCACAGAATATCTTATTACCACTTCAATGTATTTGAACCAATATTTTAAAAGGAAAAGAAAAACAGTGCAATAGATTTAACTGTGTACCAAACTGTCAATAGTTCAATAATTTGGGTGGTTGGATCACTCTCAATTTGAGCTGTTAAAAGCAGCTGAACCGTGACCGTTAGTCATACCGGTTGAATGTTTGGTTTATAAACATTGATTTGAACACATGTGTGCCCCCACCCTCACCATTACTCAATTATTATCAAACATCAACAACATTTAATATCTCTTCACTATAATAAATTTGACGGCAACCAACAAATTGAAAGAATGCCATGCATCACCTGATATATGGAAAGAACTTCTAAAAGTGGACAGAAGTGAATAAACAATAGTGATACTTCTAACAAAATTGAGAAAAGAAGAATTCTTTGAATATCTTTCTGTTACTATCAATAGAATGGGATAATAGGATTAAAATAGGATACATAAGATTTACAATGATGAAGTTAACTTTGCCCTCAAGGATATCCCAAAGGAGCATTATTATTTCACACTAGAGCTATCTCTAATCACTAAATTAATTATTCAAAAGCTATCTTTTTTTCTCTACCTCGAGGACTACTTAAAGACTATCTAAGAATAACCACTATAACAACTCTTAATAGACACCTAACAAACTAATCTACTTTACAAACTTCAAATTTCCTTCTTAATTCCAATCCTAACAAAGTCCCATTTATTCTAAGTCTAACATCACACCTGACAGATCCGGCTCCCTTGCAGTCGGGAATTTCCTGCAAGATTGGTGACCATATGGTCCAGATTTGAACTCTCTGTTTTGAAATATAAAATAGAAATTAAAAAATGCATTTTTTTGGACCTTCCTATCTTGATAGAACAAACACATGTCTCGAATATATTAACATGTGACCCCCTAACGAAGATCACTTCAAATGATGGACGAAGAATGGTTGCAGTATAGTCTGGTATTGATTCCAAATCAGAGCAGCAGCCTCACATTAAGCAAATAGAAAATGCACACTCAATTTTAAAGGGTAATTGCACAGTAGTATTCTCTAGTTTAGGGCCACAGCATGTATAGGAACTAACATTTTGATCTGTACTATGCAGCACTGACAGTGTAGAAGAAAGTGTGTTTGAACACCGATATGTGTCTGAATCCAACACAAACACACATCAGTATCTAACAAAAACATGTATTACATTCTCACTTCCATTTACCTTAAATTATTAAGGATGTCAACGTGTTACTGTCATGATTGGTGTCTATGCGAGTGCTTCCTAGCTTCTAAACTACAATTTATAGGCTAAAAACTAATTTGGATAAAAAAATTCAGAGAAAACAGTGGTGAAAAAAGAGGAATTGATCCCGACCAGTATACATACTGCCGTTTGGAGTGTGAATTTGAAAATTTCACGGGCCATAGTTTTGGCTAAAGCTACATTTTGGAGCTTCAACAAAATCACGGTGTCACCATGATTTCATCAAACTCATTATCACTCCAAACATGCCAGTACAGTTTGTCAAGAGACAAAATCCAGTTTGGTAAACATGTAATCAAACATGCCTGAAACTTAAATATAGAAATCAGATATTAAATATACTCATTTCAGATTAAAGGCATTGCTTGATTAGTTATACAACTTCTTCTCAAACCTCAATGTTCATCATCAACATTCTGCAAGGAGACAAACTCTACAGCCTGCACAAATTCATGACCTTTTCAAAGTTCAAACACAATAAAATATGTTAGCCTCTAACAAATCATTCCACACAATATTGATGTTGTTTGTTCAAACAAAATAAGAACAAGTACACCACACAATATTGTTGTTTATTTTCCAAGTTCCAACCTCATCAACCATTGATTGAAAGTTTGAAAATAAACACCAACAACAACAAATCATTTTACTACTATCCCTCTCTCATTTTCATTTCCAACAGCAATCAAAGTCAAAACAGAGCAAATAACCTAAATTATCATCAATTCACCATCATCAATATATATATTGGTATGGTGTCTGGTATCAGACACACCTTCAATCTGAATTGCCGGTACTTCATAGTTCAAAGTTCAAAGTCTACATAGGTTTTTGAGCTTCTAATTCAAATATTATTTTCACATACAATACCAAGCAAATTCAAACCAGAGCAGATATCCTAAAATAACATCAATTCATCATCATCAATATATGAATAATTCTTTAACATACAAAAACTCAATTCCAACTAAAATTTAATCAACAATTAGTCTTTAGAAAATGAAAGTGATAAACTCAATTTTACAATCAAGCAATGTTATGCCAAGAAATAGCCGCTTTACGTTTGTTCCTATGCTCCCAAACATCACTATTCTTCTTCCAATTTCGAATCTCCAACTTTTCATCTTCACCTTTCAAAGGTGCACGAATACCAAAGAACGCAGGTCTCGCCGCCGCCACAGCAATCCTCGGTAACCCTAACGGCAACGGAACAGATTCAGTTTTATCTTCCTTAGTCTTAGACGAAAACGCAGAAATGAAAACCTTCCCGGAAGCAGCTCCAGCGTGGAGTTGCGGAAGCAATGAGTTCAAACCAAGCACGCCGCGAGTGTCGTTAACGGAGGTTGACGATGGATCGAGTTGGAGAACTCTAGGTGAAGCCGCGGAGATGGAGGATTCCGCTGAGGCGGTGGTGCGGCGTTGAGGAGGTGGATGGATACCGTTGAGCCAACGAACGAGAGCGATGCGAGATGAACGGTTAGGATCGTATTCGATTCGTTCGACGATACCTATGGATGAAGAAGTGTTACGTTTGAGATCGATAACTCGTTGTAACCGTTTTGCGCCACCGCCTCTGTGAAAGGAAGTGATTCGGCCGGAAGAGTTACGGCCGGCGGTTTTGCCTTTTCCGAAGGTGAACTGCCTCAGTGCTCTCTTCACTCCTGACATTCTTCGATGCTACAGCAAGCTAGGGCTACTCTGTTGATGAAAGAAAGATAAAACATTTTTACCTTTTCTTTTTCATTTTCTATTTTAATATTTTAAGAAAATATTTTTTCAAAAAATAAATATAGTTTAAATTTTTCTAAACGCAATTTTGTTTTCCTTGCGGGAGAATTTACATTCTCTTTTTATGTTCTTCAATTCAAGTTTATTATTAGGGATGTTCAAAATTGAACTAATTCAATAGAAAATTATAAACAAAATTAAGTTAAATCAAAATTATAAAAAAGAAAAAATGTGTTTGATTTGGATGTGTTCGGGTCATTTTACAACAAAAATGTGCGATTCGGTTTGATTTGTGGTTTGTATTTTACAAACTGAACTAAACCAAACTAAATCGCATTTTGTTGCAACTCAAGCATCACGTATCCAACATCCAACCCAAAACTCAAACAAACCTAATATGTTTTAACATTATAATTACAAACGATTTTCTCTTACTCACACTTAGGATTTCAATTTCAACCTATTCAAATTTCTCCTAGTAGTATCACACATTCTTTTCATCTTCTTTGTCATATATGTATCGCCTCTTCTACTCTAATATCTCCTCTCTTATGTTCTTTCTTTTTCATCTTCTCATTTTTATGTTACTATTTTCTCTTAAAATTATGTTTTTATCGTGTCTTTCTTGTCTCTGCTTTTTAGTGCGATCGTTTTGTTGTATGCTCTCTTTTTGCGTCTTTTGCACCCCAACTTGGACGGAAAGGCAAAAGGTGACGTTGATGTCCCTAAGAATTGTGCATTAAATGCACCTCACGCTACAAATGTCTTTTCATTTATTCTATCATATTGATCTTAAGAAATTAAAATACTTGAGTGTTTCCATGAGATGATCTGGAATGTTTATAGTGTTTATTACCTTTCATAATTCATCGTGCAATCTCTGAAGGGTTAGTTCTATAGTTTCTTGAGACATTGTATTTACTTTTTTTCATTTAAGTCTTCACAACATACTATTTTTATGTAGCGGAAAAGGACGTTGTACTTTCCAATAATCAAAATTTAAAAGAATATGTTTTTACTTGTTAGGTTGAATATATTATTTATGCAAGTGTCTCTACCTTTTTCATGAAAGTGGTCTTGATAGGGCCTTTCTAGATGTGAGTCCTTCTTTTGATTGGGGTGTACTAACCCCTAGGAAAGTCAAAGGATTTATAGTAAGTATGAGGGTTATGTCATTCCTTTATATGAGTGTACCTTTTCGATCATAGATCTCTGCTTGCCTTTTAACAGTTTTGAAATAGAGGTTTTGAACCATCTAATGATTGATTCT